CAGAGGACCCAAGGGGGCAGGTGAGGCAATCCCATTGTTCCTACCTCCAGGTGCCTCCTCCAGGTCGCCGCCCCACTTGCTGTACCCGGCATTGTCCATGAGGAGCACAGATATAAAATATGCCCAGCCTTGGGCATAGATATAAATGTAGCCCCCTCCCTCACTCGCCCCGCCCACTCTCTCTTCCTTCCTTCCCATCTCCTGAGTCTTCACTTCTAGTACCAGGGACCCACTGAGCAATCACAGGGCTGTGCCCTTTCTGGGTTGGGCTGGGCTAGAGGTAAGGGTGTGGTAGAGGAAGTGGGAGTTGGGGGTAGAAGGGGGTTGAGAGAGTGGAGGGGATGCGGAGTGGAATGTGTGTGTGTGTGTGTGTGTGTGTGTGTGTGTGTGTGTGTGTGTGTGCAGTTCCAGCCTCCCTGGCCTGGTAGCTGCAGCAACATCTCCAGGCTGGTTCTGGGGCTGCACTCTGGAGCTAGGTCCCCATCTCTTAGAGGTCTGGGGCTGGCCTTACTCCAAGAGACACAGGCTGAACTGGCCAAGTTCTGGCCCCTCCCTGCTGGTTGCTGAGAAAGCCCCTCAGGCGTGGCCCCCATGCCAGCTCAGCTTCCCTCCTCAACTCTCCTCAGGTGCTGCCAGAGGCTGGGTCTGCCCCTGCCCTTAATTCAATCCTTCTTGGCCAGAAGGGAGAACACACACATTTGTTGGGTGGTGGTCAGCTAAGCTTCTGGACTCTACTACTAGTAGAGTGGGTGAGGCGTGTGTGCATGTAGCTTCTAGAAGCCTCAGTTTTTCTCCTCTGTGAAATGGGGGACAGTGACAGAGCCTCCCTCCAGGGGATGCTGTGATAAAGGAAGGAGGTCACGATGTCAAGCCCTGTACCGTCCCCAGGCACGAAACCCACTAATGCTCATTCAGTCTTCCAACAAATATTGAACACCTGCCGTGTGCCAGGATTGATCTAGAACCTGGGCATCCATCAGTGCCCCAAATAAGCAAATTCCTTCCTTCCTGGAGCAAACATTCTGTAGGAGGTGGGGAGAGACAGACTGCAAATAATGAACTGAATGAAAAAGTGAGTTGTAGAGTGTAGTGGTTCTCACCCAGGGCTGATGACACTCCCCAGGGCACACTACGCAGTGTCTGGAGACATTTGTGGTTGTCACAGTTTGGGATGGGCGATGCTATCAGTTAGGATGACTCTGACTCACATGGTCTACACTGTCTCCCAGAGGTCCCCAGGGGCATTCAGCCCACAGCAGTACCTGCTCCAGGCACATCCTGTGTTGGCTTCTTCCCTTTCCTGTCTCTCTCCCCTACCTTCCTCCCAGGGCTTCTAGAATCACCTCCCAGATAAACTACAAATCCTGGAATCCTTATCTTAGTTTTGCTTCTGGCGTGGCCCAAAGACTCCTTGGCTGTTTCAAGAGATCAGCAGAGTGACACGCTCTGCCTGGCAGGGACCCTGAGGTAGCTGTTATTGGTGATATTGTTATTATTACATTTCCGTGGTTCCCATGCAAGATCAACTGGGACCCCTAGGAAACGGAATTGTCCCTGTGCAAGGAGAGTCTGCCAGAAAAGATTTAAGAATTGATTTGTAGCCCATTTTCCTGGGTGGCGCCTAAAAGGATGATTATCAGGACGACGATGGTACTGGGTTGATTGCTTCTTTATGGGAAGGAATCCGAAGCTGAGAGAGAGAAGGTGGCTCCCCCAAGGCCACTCAGCCAAGGAGTGTTGGTGCTCTGATCCAAGGCCACGTGCCTACTGCTACAGGGACTCTTCTCTCAGTTACCCGGAGAGACTGAAAACTCCCAGCCACAAATTCCTCCCATCTCAAGACAGGCTTCTCTGCGACGGGACTTTGTTACTCTTCCCATCAAAGGTGGAGTCCACTTCCTCTCCCTTTTGAATCAGCATTATCCACATGACTTGCTTTAGCCAATAGTTGTGCAGAAGCACCGCCACGTGACTTCCGAGTCTTGGCCCCACTATGCTTTGCGGCTTCCGCCTTCATGCTCCAGGGATGCTGCAGGCCGCCATGTTACAGGGCGCGGCTTAGCTCCATGGGAATGAGAGGCCACAGACACAAATACTTAGAAACACATACAGACAATATACACAAAACACACACACAACATAAACACAAAATCGAACTCCAGAAAGAAGATAGACACACGCAATGTGCTCACAAAGACACACGCACAACACAATTACATGGCCAAACACGTAAACACAGACACACATATAAAGGCAAAGAAACACACACACAAACTCAATGCACAAACAGAGAGAGAGAGACAACGCAGATTTCCAGCACACGCACAGACAGTCACACACACACAATGTACACGGTCATACAGGCACACACACACACACACACACACACACACACACACACACACCCTCTGCTGGTCTCTGCAGAGCTGTCTCCCAGCAGGGGTTGATGGACAGAGCAGGGCTCCTCCACCAGCCCTCCTCCTGCTGCACTCTGCACTCCTCCCCCCTCTGCAGGCCTCAGTTTCCCCTCAGGACCTCTCTCGCTGCCTCTCCACCAGCTCTCGCCTTCAATCACCCCCAAGCCTCGCAGACTCCCACATCTCTGTCTTCAGCCCAGCGCCACCTCCTGAGCCTCGTGTTCATGCATCGATTCACTCATTCATTCACTCACACAATCATTCATTCATTCAATGAGACACTGGACACTGTAATGGGCACTTGGGGCTGCAGTAGAGAATGAGTCACACTAAAGTCTCTGCCCTTGGATCTGACATTCTATCTGGGGAGACAGACAAATGTCAGATGGTGGCGAGGGCCATAAAGACACACAAAGCAGGTGGGAGGAGAGTGACGCATGGGCTGTTTCAATAGAGGGTCAGGGACCCCTCTCTGAGTGGGTGATGCTTGAACCGGAGCCCCAGAAGGGAAGGGAAGAGCCAGCCTTCAGAGATTGGGGGAAGGGTGTCCAGGCAGAGGAAAGAGCAGGTGCAGAGTGCAAATGGCAACAGCCCAAAAGGCCCTGTGGCTGCCCTCTTTCCCGCCTGCGTCCTTCCCTTTTCTTGGCTTCCAGCCACACCTGCTCGCTTTCCTGCTTTTTGAGCCCTCTGGCTGGTCCTCATCCTCTGGGTCTCTGCTGTCTGCAGGCGGGGACCCCGGCTAAAGCAGTTTCTTTATGTCCAGAGACTCTGACCTCTTGTTCTCCGTTGGATACCAGTGCCTGGTATGTAATAAATGCTCAAGAAACGTTGGCCCCTGAGAAAATGACTGTACTGGACGAATGCAAATGATTACATTGCATGAAGGAACGAAGGAACGAAATTGCTACTTGTTGACTGAAAACTTGATCTCATTTCTTCTCTCCAGCTGCTCTCCCCAACCTCCTCCTTGGTCTTGCTTCAGAGAATGTGATTCCCAATAGCAGAGTCCCCCCACCTCCTGCTTCTCAGCCCCCCACCCTTAACTTCCCATGAAAACACGTGCTATAGGGCACATGTTACTGCTGGCTTCTTGCCTCCCCTCATGATCTGCTTCAACTTCCAGCTTCATTTCCTCCCCTCTCGCTCTTCTCTGGATAAACCCCTCCACCTGCTCTAGAACTGCTGAAGACTCTCTTGGGTCAAAACCACCCAAACACAAAAATGATTCTATTTTAATTTTTTGAGGAACCGCCATACTGTTTTCCGTAATGGCTGCACCATTTTACATTCCCACCAGCAATTGTGCATTGCAATATTTCCACATCCTTGCCAACACTTGTTATTTTCTATTTTAATTTTTTCATAGACACCATCCTAATGGGTGTGATAAATTGGTGCATTTTATTGTATATGAATTATACCTCATTAACCTTGATTTTTTAAATTACTTTATCGAGGTCATAATAGTTTATAACATTGTGAAATTTCAGTTGTACATTATTGTTTATCAGTCACCATATATATGTGCCCCTTTATCCCTTATGCCCACTCCTCAAACCCTTTCCCTTTTGGTAACCACTAATCTATTCTCTTTGTCCACATTTTTCTTTATCTTTCACATATGAGTGAAATCATGTGGTGTTTGTCTTGCTCTGTCTGGCTTAATTTGCCTAACATACAACCTCCAAGTTCCAGCCATGTCGTTGCAAATGGATTTTGCAACAAAAGCTGATTTTGTCTTTTTTTATGGCTGAGAAGTATTTAATTGTATATACATATACCACATCTTCTTTATTCATTCATCAGTTGATGGTACTTGGGTTGCTTGCGTGTCTTGGCTATTGTAAATAATGCTGCAATGAACATAGGGGTGCATAAGTTTCTTTGAATTCTTGATTTCAAGTTCTTTGGATAAATACCCAATAGTGTGATAAATACCCAATAGTGTGATAGCTGATTATATGGTATTTCTGTTTTTAATTTTTTGAGACATCTCCATGCTGTTTTCCATAGTGGCTGCACCAGTTTGCATTCCCACCAGCAGTGTATGAGTTCCCTTTTCTCCACATCCTCTCCAATATTTGTTGTTTTTTGCTTTGGTAATTATAGCCATTGTAACAAGTGTAAGGTGATATCTCATTGGAGTCTTGATTTGCATTTCCCTAATGATTAGTGATGTTGAACATCTTTTCATGTGCCTGTTGGCCGTCTGTATATCTTCTTTGGAAAAATGTCTGTTCATGTCCTCTGCCGTTTTTTGTGTGTGTGTGTGAGGAAGATTGGCCCTGAGCTAACATCAGCCAATCCTCCTCTTTTTTCTGAGGAAGACTGGCCCTGGGCTAACATCGCTGCCCATCTTCCTCCACTCCACATGGGACGCCTGCCACAGCATGGCCTGATGAGTGGTGCGTCAGTGCGCGCCCGGGATCCGAACTGGCGAACCCTGGGCCGCCACAGTGGAGCACACCCACTTAGCCACTTGCACCACCGGGCCAGCCCCCCTCTGCCCATTTTTTGATTGGGTTATTTGTCTTTTTGTGGTTGAGTCATATGAGTTCTTTATATAGTTTGGAGATTAACCCCTTGTCAGCTATATGATTTGCAAATATTTTCTCTCAGTTGGTGGGTTGTCTTTTCATTTTGTTCCTGGTTTCTTTTGCCTTGCAGAAGCTCTTCAGTCTG